AAAAAAGACCGGGATCCCGATATCCCGGGATCCCGGGATTGACATCCCTAGTAGCAACCAATTGTATCAAGCAGTTTTGCACACTCAGCTACAGCCACGCATGTAAATGTGCTTTCATATGTTCAGTTTGAATCAACACTACATTTCGCTGTGTGCAAACATTTTCTTTTTCGGTTTAGATTTTAAACCAAATTTTCTATATATGAAACCTAGAAACTAGAATTAAAACATTTTGGTTTGATTTTTAAACCACGAACTTTTTGGACCAAAATTTGAACCACAATATATTAAAAATTGCTATTAACTATTGACTGGTTTAATAAGTAGACTACAAAAGATTAAAAAAGGCAATAGTCCCAGCGCGGTTTAAAAATTAAACCCAAATTTTTTACCGTGTACAAAAAATTTATTTTGGGCGGGACGAAGTTCGCCGGGTCTGCTAGTATTAGTATAAAATCTAAAATCTACAACGATAAAATTCGTTTTGCTGCGTTTTAATTTTAAATTCACACACAAATGGGCTTTACCTACCAATACTGGTAGATTTTTTTCCATTTGGTAGGTTGGTAAGCTTGATTGCATTTTGGTAGGTTTCGTGACAATGGGTAATAGTTATTTGCGAAAAATAGAAAACATTTTAGCAACTTTTTTACACGAACGTTTCACCGGTGCTTTCGTATAACGGCGGCCACAAAACATGTAAATATACCTGATTCCTAAGTACAAATTATTATTGCCAATATACAATATGAACATCCATAAATTTAAAGCATACACTGCAGACCTACTTAGGAGGCAGCAGGGAATAATCTCAGATTGCTGCCCACTGGTGGAAGTCAAACGAAATAAGACAACCAAAGAGATTAATAGCTCCGACCAGGAGGAACTCCGAAAGATACCTTGAACTTAGAACTCTTACGGGCTACCTGACAGCACACTGCAAGTTAACGTCCCATTTGAATTAAATGGTTATTTCTGTAGAGATGGACGGACTGTAAGTTTTGTGGGCTGGTGAAGGAAACCCCAGAGTATATTATATGTGCCTGTCCAGAAGCATGAATCGCAGTTTGATACACCTTGGAAAACGAGTGTCTTCTCCATATACAATTTGGAACATGGAGTCATCCAAAGTGCTGAGCTTTTTAATTAGCCCAAGGTAGGAGTGACTACAATTACACTCAGAAAAAGGTTTAGTTAAAATTACCAAGATTTGGTTATAGTGACCAAGTGGCATAGTTGGATATGGCGAAATAAATATCTAGTTCACGAAAGTCTGCAATTTACTTGAGACTTCTAGTTGGGACAAATGTATATTGGTTAATAATTACAAAACGACTACCTTGAGTGGACAATATTGTTAGTTGAATAAAATCATTGTTGAGCAAATATAAACAATGCTTTGGTTGATACAAGTTTTCAATTAATTTTGTGAACTTGCTGTAGACTTGAATCAGCTAATCGTTTATTATTGGAAAAAAAGTTTCAGTTTAACACAAATAAAAATTTACTCGATGGTTGTTGTGTTTACTTTCTTCTTTTATTTGCATATATTAAGCATAAAAAATACATACATGTTTACATAAATAGTTATTAGAGTAAATAATACATATGTATATGGTGGTAAAAGCAACATTGGTCAAAGCAACATCGTAAAAAATATAGAAAAAGGTTTTTTCTTAACAGCGGTCGTCCCTCGGCAGGCAATGGCAAACCTCCGAGTGTATTTCTGCCATGAAAAACAGCTTCTCATAAAAATACAATCGCCGTTCGGAGTCGGCGTAAAACTGTAGGTCCCTCCGCTTTGTTTGACACCATCAAGGCGCACGCCACAAGTCGGAGGAGAAGCTCGGCCAAACACTAACATATGTGTAAGCGCCAATCTATTATTACTACACCTTCTCATAAAAATATAATCGCCGTTCGGAGTCGGCGTAAAACTGTAGGTCCCTCCGCTTTGTGTGACATCATCAAGGCGCACGCCACAAGTCGGAGGAGAAGCACGGCCAAACACTAACATATGTGTATGCGCCAATCTATTATTATTATATGGCGGTAAGAATTTCCTAAATAGAAACGATGAAACTGGAACAGTCGTGCGAAAACTCAGGTCAATATCTGCTGGAAGTGCTGGTTTAAGTATACTGCTTTGCTTTTTCCTTGGCTAAATAGATACTTTCAAATAATATTTCACATGAATTATATATCCACTGAGATACCTCGGTTGGCATCAAACTTTATATTTTTAAATAACTATGCGCACACCGAAACAACTCGCAGCGATGGCAAAACTGAAACTGAGACAAACAAATCTGGGCATGTCATAGCAGCACACACTTTTCTTTCTCTACCTAGCGCAGTGATCGGCATGACATAGCTTACTGAGCGCTCTGTGACCACACGCGTGTTTCATCCATATACGAACAGCGGTAGCGGAGCAATGATTTCCACGCACACAGTCTCATTCATTGAATCGTTTTTACGCAATGGTCGGCATACTAGCGCATTCAAACGATTCAATAAGTGGGACTGTGTGCATTGCTCGGCTGGTGCTCTTCGTATGTAAAACACCCATGTGCTCAGCGAGCGCTCAGCATTATTTGGGGGTGGCTTACAAGCATGAATACGTTCCGCTCTCAAACCAAATCGTGGTTGCCTCAACTAAGATTTGGTAATATGACTAAACCATGTGTTGAAAGAAAGCTCATCTGCATTAGCAGAGCTTAATAACATCCTTTTATGAACCATACGCTAAGTTGAATGGAATTTGTAGAAGTATGCTTCAAAAAAATATTTATTAGTATTAACCAAACCCATCAACTAAATTAACGATTTGGTACACCCTAGATGAATATTAGAAGCTTTAATATATTTAGTTATAATTACCAACCCATGGTAATAGTTCCCAATCCTTGGAAACAGTTCCCAAATATTGTCAAAATTCGGGAACTAAATATCTTTAGTTGTCGAAACTAATCCTTTGTCTCAGTGTAGCTTTTATATTATTTGAGCATCGATTCTCTCTATAGCCAGACATTGAACATTTCTGCTGGAAATCCCAATTGAAGGAGCTTACTATTTGACTTCAAATAGGAAAGAATGGATACGTGCGGGACAGTTTTGCCACATAAGTTTTTAACTAAAGATCCAGTGCATATCTATATAAAAAAATATTGCCCGACAAGCAAACCAAATAACTGTTTTTGAAAATTTTCCTAAAAATAAATTCCCCATTTGAAATGGTTCAAACGAATACATATACATATACATATGTAACATGCAAAGCAAATCACGAAAATTTGGTTTAAAATTATAGTGCACACTTTCTTCTTTTATGTCTAGTAGTTTTTTTTTTAAGATTGGTCCAAAAAAAATATAACAAAGAAAGAAACCGATGCAGGTATTTAAAGCACAGAAAACAATAAAATTATAGTTTAAAAAACTAAAACCTCGCTATTATAATTACCAGTCGTACTGTCATCCTTATACGTTTGTTATTTACTTATAGGAGTTTATCAGCTGAATTCAAATTTCTTACAAAATTTGTTAAT